GAGATAGATAGATAGAGAGAGAGAGAGAGAGAGAGAGAGAGAGAAAGAGATCGAATAGAATGAAATACATTTATTTTATGAAATTTGTTAGATGGTTCGCGTGATAATCACAATGTCAATTAATCCTCGTCGCGTAAAGAGTTGCCCGAAACGAAACGAATCGAATCGAATCGAATTGAATCGGAGTTGAAGTTGCTCGAACCGATTACCAGCTTCTTTACCTTGAGGCAACAGCTTCTACATATTCATAGCGCTGCTGCTAGTATGTGCATTCGTTAGATGCGGCACAACTGCGGCGAAACACGGTGCATATCAATGGCCAACCTCGGAACAGCTCGAGATCACGCTCAAAAATACTTCCTCAAGTTCTGATGATCAACTTCGAGGCGAACGGCCATCGAACGAGCAAAGTTGTTCAGGTTTTCGGGCAAATTGACCAGCGGCAGACCGGTTTCGCCCAACGCTGTATGCAACGTTCGAATCCAATTTGCTCGCCGCGCCGAGTCGCCGTGAAATCCTCGGTGCACGCAACAAACCGGCACAACAGGCTGATTGTTGCCGGTGTGTGCGATGGCCGACCGGTAATAAATTCTCCATCCGCCGGCAGATAATCGGAATTATAAATGTCGCGCGATCGCCGGCCGTCCCTCTCGTTGTCGCGTCGAATCCCGGCGCTCGCAAATTGTTTCACAAATATTATTATTCAACATATTGATGTAATCACCGCTACGCATCTTATGCAAACTCGCGTTATTAGTTTCGATTTATACTCGTTTATGTTCGATTAATTTCGAGCGAGCTTAATGGCCGAACGGTTGTGCAAACTCGCCGGCAGAATCGGTCGTTGCCGGATGAACGCGATGGAAAATTCTAAAATAACCGTTTCGAGCTCGCTGCGATGATATTTCGGTGGGTCCCGCCGCGGGAAAGGACGCGTCGCGCCTCTCGTTTCGGGTCTCCATAATGCGCGGCAACCATAATTACTTCGCGCGCGGATTCCGCCTGTTCGCCGTGAACGCGCGATCCGAAGCATGATTTTACTGCCGAATCTCCAGAAATTTTGAAGTCGCACGAATTTATGGGCTTATCCGAGTAAACAAATAATCGGGAATTCGAAGGCGAGTTTCTGCAGGTTCGTTACGGACGGGGGCCAACGAACCGTAGGGACTGCGAGAGCTCTTTTCTATTCGGCGCGTTTTCATCGCGGAAAACGCACCGTTGTCGAGGGGGCGGCCCGTGTCGAGCACCGTTGTTGACTCACTGTCACCAATAAAAGCTCCTCTATTGCGTTCGCGTCGGGGCCACGTGTCCCCGTGCTTTCCGGCGCATTTCTCTCAATATTGCTCGAATTTCCACGTAGCCGGCGGAATTGCGCGCGGCGTGGCACCCTGCATGGCACCCTGCCTGGCAGCCTGCATTCCCGGCGTCGCGACTCTCGCCGAAACGTTTATCGTTCCGAAGTTAACGGGTTCCTCTGCGAGAGGCCGAACGTCACCGCGTTCATCCAGCTTTCTTCGAGCTTTTCCGCGATGGAGACGTCCCCGTGACACGCGACAACGCGCGTTCGAACGTCGCAGCTGACGCGCTCAGTGATAGAGATCAATGGAAAGGCCGCCACGGACAGCGCTCGGCGACGTTTCTACACGGGAACGCGTTTAACGCTACATTTACGGAACCCGTCAAAATGGCGGGTCACTAATTTCTGAATTTACGATTATTGATAGCGTAAAGATACATTTACGAGTTATTTACTCAATTTATCTGTTACTTACGGCAAATGTTACAATAACATGTTAAATGTACAATAAAATCAGAATAAATGTCTTATTTTTACTATTATAAACTAGTATGAAGCAGCTGTTTTTTGTGCTCCGTAAATCTAGCGTTAAAGACACCGAAATGCCAACTTTCTCGAACGTTTTTCATTTTATTCCGGGAATTACGCGTTCGAGCTAACTAATCGTCAATTGGTGACGAGGTAAGATCAATGCAGAATTTAAGCCCTTGCTGTATCATTTTCATCGCAGATGAAATGTAATGATTTTTTGGAACAGAAAAAAAAATGTACATTTGCCGTGTCTACTCTTACTCGAAAGCTTCAATATTGACGGCAATAGAACGGAGCTTTTTTCCGAATTCAATGAATGGAAACTTTCATACTCGACAGGTCATTACTGAAAATCACGAGTCAGACTCGTCAAAGCACGACAGAGATTACCCCTTTGCCGTATCTAACGCTTCTAAATGCTCTTGCTTTATTCGAATTGGTATATCGGAACTTGTGTCGCGTCCCGCGGCTAAAAATAACCGAGCACCGTTGCGAGCAAATTATTTGATGCGAGAATCTATTCAGAATCAGATAAACAGATTATTTGAACGACAACTCTTGCAGTTTATTTTTCATGATTCCGTTCCTTTGGCAAAATACAAATTTCCACCGGGGCTCGGCAAATCAAAATATGTCCTAACGGCGGTCCTTGAAATG